TGATAATTTAATCTGAAGGCAGAATTATAGTTAATTTTTTGCTACTCCATTAAAGACATTACAGACTTGTGCAATTGGCACTTCGCCAATTGCACAAGTCAATCTAATGTAGAGTACAATAGACTGCTGGTTGACACTGTCAATTGACTACGAACTGCCTTATACAGTACTCTTCCAGAGCAGAGAGGACTGGATCCTCCGGGAAAAAGAATCATTAAGAGCAGATAGTTGTTGGTTCACGAATGATCAAAAACACGTTATCGTGCAGGTGTTTTTATTCGCAGACTCAGGACAGAGATACCAATCTGCCTAGGGACCTATGCGACTATATTTCAAGCAGAAATCTATGCCATTGAATTGTGTGCGAAGAAATTGGTAGAATCCAACCTCATACACAAGTCAATAAAAATATTTTCGGACAGTCAAGCGGCGTTGGAAGCTCTTGGCTCCTACCGAGCAACATCTAAATTGGTAGCAAATTGCCAAAAACAACTCTTCTCGATAGGAAGACTTGACAAATTGTCTCTGGTCTGGATCCCATTCCAGGATCCTTTCCAGGCCTTACTGACCTGGAAGGCAATGTAGCTGCTGACTTCCTTACAAGGTAGGGTGCTGCAAGCAGCTACATCGGACCAGATCTGTCATTGACAGCGTTTTAGGCTTTGCCAAATAAACATCGAACACCTGAATGGCTAGAAAATTTATGGACTTCTGCTAAAATTTTCCGGTATCAGCTCACTCCTAGGCGTTCATTCACCCTTCGAAGCTTGAAATCAAACAGTTTTAGTACTACAGTAGGGTAAACTACGATGTCTAACAGGTCTTCTCACAGATCACTGTCGTCTGTATCATCATATGCAGAGAATCGAACTGTCGGAAGACAGTGTGTGTCGCCAGTATTTGGGAACTGATGATACAGCAGAGCACAACTTTGTGCCTGCCCCGCTGCAGACCGCTGCAGGTTCAGAGTACATTTGGTCGAGTGTGAAGCTACGATAAACTCTTGCGGGTTGCGGTGAAGGTCGAACAGACCCACTCACTTTTGACCTAACCTAACCCAACCACATAAAAGACATTCATCTAGCGTCATTTTAATGTTGATGGGTCAAGTTTTTGTGAACTATATTCTAATTTGAGGTGTTATTTGAGGTGTATTTTTTATCGTTTCATTCAAATGATTTTGAACTTATCGGATACATGATCAACATTTTCACCAAATGTGTTGGTTGAGAAATAGTTTCAATAAGCCTGATTTAGTTCTCCGTGATCGATGAAGTGTCTAGATTTAATTTAAAAATTTCACAGGTGCCATGCGGCCATTCATTTGAAAAGTTTTTTCTGAATAAGGAACCTATAGACCATACTGGCTTACCTCGAGAAGGCTGAATGAAATATTGGCCGAAAAATAGACGGCTACCATACTTAGATTCTGGAAACTATTCACACTTAAGTGGAAAGTGGTTATTAGTTAATGATGTCGGCATTCCCTTTGAATGTACCTTGATAACTTGTAGTAACATGATGGGCATAGAGCTTCTTGACAGTTGACTTGTCATGTTCATCAATCTGAATAACGTCGCTTCAATGATGGTTAATTTCCATCTCCGGGATTCCCACATTGACGAGAGATGTTATTCATACGCTTCAATAGATATTCGATTGGTTGTAGGAAATGAGAAGTGTCAAATTTCCGAAACAATGCATTTTCTATCCTCATGTAGATACAAATCAGTAAACTTGATGTAAGTTTCTTGGTTATCAAAGTAGTTTGATATTCCTCATGGAGTTTTCTGCTCCAGATGGAATGAATATCGTTTGAGAACTGGAGGAGAAAGAAGAAATACCGAGATCTACTCTTCGAACTCCACAAATGTCTTTTATAATTATGGATATCTATGGTGAATGATGCCTTTCGTATTTTTGAGCCTCAAACATTATTGATTGATGTTGTTTGCCCAAGACCGGCTTTTCCAGAAATTATTTACCACATGGCGTGAGGAGTGGATGCTGGCACATACTTTGAATAGATTGAAGCTTCGGATAGATGGATTGTCCAGCAAATCTTTTTTGGAATATAAAATAATAAAAATAATAATATTATGTTTTAAAACTGACTTAACTAATTCTATATATTATATTCCAAACGAAACATTAGTGATGCAACACTTGATATTCGACCTGCCATAGGTTTCCCAGTGGTGCTAGGCTGAACCACGAATGACAGTTATACTCAACTGTTCTCAAAGAGGAAGCCTGATTAGGAAAAGACAGACTCCACTATTGAGACCTAGGGCTGCTCGAAATAGATATGTATGTTTTTTCCACAACTTGCGACTCGTCTGACTTGTCCATTTCTAACAGGTCTCAGAATAACAATGCAATCTCCTGGGTTTATTCCGTTTTTTCTCCCATCTTTGTCATGACACCCATTCCAACATATCTTGTTCCCTGTACTAGTGTGTACAGGTCTCTTGCTGGATATGTCATATTTTTCTATTCTAATTTGGTTTGTACATAAATTTATTAGTTTCGCATTCGTATAAAATATGATGAAATGCCTCTGTCGCTTTGTTGCATTTTCTGCTGCTAAGGTATCCGTTGTATAGCTTTATTTTATTCAGATGCCATGTCCAGTGAGTACGCCAGTAATTGTTCTAAGCCGATCCCTGCTTTGTTGAAGCATCTCTTGTCTTCAGTGAGATTTTCACATTTGTGTTTCCTAGTAAGTTTGGAGATGATGATTCATGTCTCGTACACTCACCAGCTTTTTCGCTGTCTGCGATACAGACCACACCAGTCTCGGAGTCACTTTAGGGTTCATAAGTGTCCCAAGTGCAACGTGGCTGTCTGTGAAAATATGGATCTGCTCATTTTGTTGAGGCCTAAAATTAGGGTTTCTTACGCATTGCAAGATTACTTACAAGTCAGCCTCGATAACGAATGATGGTGTTCGTTTTTTCACATATTCCGAAATTTCTGTTTTGCTGGATCCCATGTAACTTGGCGACAGCTAAATTACATTTTCCCATCACCAACGAGAAACAGCATTCTCTCGTGTCGACTTGTCTTGTCTCCAAAATTTGGAGTACGCGTAACGTACTTCGGAAGATATACCGAAATGACATTTTGAACTTCAATGATGAAGTCATCAGGTTGGTACGCGACAGAAGTAAAATAATATCGATAATGATTGAATTAAACTGGCCGATACATGACGAAAATCCATATCAAAACTAATTATTACACTTTATTGTATAATTTTCGCTATGAAGGTTTTGCAAAAACCGTGACACGTGTTATGCTATACAAGCGTAAAAAAATTACGCTTGAGAAAGCTATTCTATAGTGAAACACGTGTCGAGGTTTTTGTAAAACGCTTTTTAGTGAAAATCATAAAATCATACAATAAAGTGTATTAATTTGATACACTTAGAGCTGAAACTATTAAACTGATAGAAAAGGAACTAGCAATACCATTGACATACATAATAAACTGGTCATTCAGTAGTGGAATATGTCCAACTCCATTCAAGTGTGCTGTTATTTCATTTATTCAAGTCTGGAAATGAACTCAAAGTGGATAACTACCGCCCAATATCCGTAATTACAAACTTTGCGAAAATATTCGAAACCATCTTGAAATCACGCATTGAAAAATACCTAACGAAATATCAAAAGTTAGACAGATATATTTCACCTAAAGTATAAAATTCTAAATTGAAGGGGTTATATTTTTAGGAGTTCTATTCCCAAATTAATAACCGTCATCAAAAACATCTTTACTTTCAAGAAATACTTTAAAAAATACATTCTGAAAACGCCTAGAATACCTAGTAGTCACTGAAATAATCGAAGGAAAATGAAAATGAAAAATATTTAAATACCGATGAATAAATTGATTGGTTCGATTCATTCAATATAAAGTACTTTTTGGAGGCTGGTAAATGAAAACTTGTACTCAAATATGTGTTTATCATTTTTTAACACGCTTTTATTAGCTTCACCTGTATGTATGTATGTATGTTTGTTTGTTTTTACCTCTCAAGCTCGGAATCTGTATGTGACAGAATTATCGACATTATGGCTTGATCTATTCGCGGGCAGATGGCGCTGTAACCTACTTGATATAATTCGAACTCACTTTACATGTATTCCTTCATTTGAAAAAAGTATTTATTTATTAACACGCGTGCCTGAGCCTTATTTGTAACCCTCCTTTATGCGCCTGCTGCCTTGGGCTTGGTAGGTGATTTTCAGGCTTCTTCTCCGAAATTGAAAAAGCTTTATACCATATTTTTTGTATATCAACCGCCCCTCGCTTTTTTCACAATAATACTAGTATTTTTCGTTCGTTATTGTTTTGAGCTTATTCAAAACAAATTGTTGCATGATCAGTAATCGCTACACATTTGTTCGATTACTACCAAATTATCCCAATCCTTTGCCGAGTAATAAATCCTACATTAGTATGGCGGCTATTTTGTTTTCAACCAGTTTTCAACCTTATTTCATATATTTATCATGGGGGTGCATACAAATATAATCCACCATATTTAAGAGTCGGTCATATTGGATTTAGAGTGACGTCATTTTCCATATTCTTTTCAGCAAAGTTTATACCCGTAAGATGGGGGTGCAGAAAATATCAGTCCGCTATATTGGATTTAAAGTTACCTCATGTTATTGCTCGTATTATCCTCAGCAAACTCTTTCATCTGATACCCTAGGGGGGTGAATAAAAAATAATTCGCCACATGGGTGGCCAGCCATGTTGGATATGAAGAAGCGTCACGCAGTAAATCATGCATTGCAACTGCTTCAAAATGCACATACAATATTTGACCTGAACTAACACACATACAAAAATTGCAAGTTAGATTGAATCTTGTAATGTAAAATATCATACTGAAAGAACCCAATGTTACATTTTTCACTAGATAATTTATAAAAAAAACATTTGATAAATAAGCTATTTAAAATAGTTATATCTTTTGTTTCAGGAGTGTTATTGAAAATTTTTCACCATGGGGGCCATGTTTAGGAGCGAGGAGATGGTCCTCGCGCAGCTTTTCATTCAACCCGAAGCGTCTTATTTTGCCATATCCGAGTTGGGTGAAACGGGCTGTGTGCAGTTCAGAGATGTAAGTTGAAATTCATTCTAGAGAAAACCACCTTCAAAAATTTTGCAATCGAAATATCAGTAGGATCACGATTATGAATGAAATGAGGATAGTAAAAAAACGCTATTAACAGAGCCGTTTTTGAATATAAAAGGGGGATTTTTAAAAAAAGCTCGGACAAGTCGATTTCTAATTAAAGGGGGACGCCTTTCAGAGGGGGTGCGTACTACCTTATTTAGATAGGGAAAGTAGGTCGAGTGGCACCTTGTTTTAAAGGTCTTTCGAATACCTTTACAACTCTGTTAAAAGACAATTTTTGTAACGATTAGTTTTCGAGATAATTTGAAGTT